AGCACACAAGACGGTACGAACAGCAGATGAGAATAGACAAGGCACAAAAGGGTCATGCTAAATGTTCAATACTCAGCTGTAAGCTCCAGTCTCTACTACTACCTCAGCTTCAGCACTCTCTCTCTGATTACCACTAAATTAAATACCTATTGTCAACCAGGCTAAGTCTAGAACTCTATATCGCACTGATCGAAGATCACATATCGCATTCACATCCGATGACATTACATGTTTAACAATCATCCTCGTTGGACCTTAACTAATCCTTATCGATAGATCTTCAGATAAAGACTTCATAGTTAAGGACAACTACTGGTGTAGTGTCATGTGGCGCCAACACTAGTGGGCCAAAAATAAACAAGAAGAACAAGAAGAAGATTATCAAGAAAAGCATCAAACAGAATAGAGAATCAAAAGTCAAAAGTTTTAGAAAATAAAATAAAAGAAGGATCAGGGCGTGACTACTTTTGTCTGATGCAAGATCTTCAAGAGGCTGCGCGATGCACTCCACGTGGAGGTATATAGGTATACAGAGGCGGCTTACTTTGGAATTAAGAAAATAAGGAAAAAAAAAAAGCAGAAAAGTAACATAAAGACGCCATACAACTGGAACCTTTCATCATGCTTGAGATATACAGAATGAGATGGTATCCAGAGAATTGTCGGAGAATGTAAGAATAAGTATATTGATTGGTTCTCAGAGTTTGATTGTAATATTTGTTCTTTCTCTGTAGTTTTATCTTTTTACTTTTAATTTAGTTTTATCTAACATTTTGGTTCTGTTATTTGTTCACTAGAAGCTTTCTTGTTTATTTTATTAATGCGGGAATTGAGGATGTTAGGGAGAAAAGAAATGGCTTTTAGCTTAAGGATAGCTTTGGTGACCTCTTGGAAAATAAATAAAATGGAAATTTTATAATTGTACATTAGGGAGGTATGTTGAAGAAGATGCTGGGATTTTTATGGACACGTGATGCGGGTTGTTGAGAATTAATAAATTAATTGGTCTTGTCTTGAATTACTTGTAGTGTTGAATCGGTCTGTGGCTGTGTCTATGTTTATATATAGTTTTGTCGGCGTTGTGGTTATAGTGGAGAATAGAGACAAGAAAGAGTGAAAGGTCGGATCCTCGACTCTTGTACTAAGATAACCTGATGAAATGAAGCTGTTAAAGTAGAACGTTAAACGTTAATGCGTATTAATTTGTTGATAAAGTCTTATTTTAACGATGTTCTATTTTAAGATTTGTTTTATTATTATTTGTGTAGTTAAGAGAGTGAGTAACATTTTTTTATGGAAACCTAATCTTTGTTATAGATTAGGTTTCTATGTAATTAAATTTCGTACTATCGGAAAGGTCTTGACCCGAGCTTTGTGTCTTCTTAATATTTTATATGTTTTTTGGTAATAATCAATTATTCGATTAAATAATTGGTAATTGATTTTATCTATGTATATTGTGATTAAAAATATTGAAAAATCATTACAATTGCTTTAGATTTTTTTTGGATGCTCTGTATTATATTTTATAACTTATTAGATATTGCATTTAGTTGTGAAAAAATTCTGACCTCCAACTAATTAAATAAATTAAATTATATTATTACTATTATAAAATTCTTTATTGATGAATTCATTCACATTAATGAAGATAGAAATATAATTCCACTTCAGAATTCAAAGTACTTAATTGTTAGCAAACTTCAATATTTAATGTTAGAATTAAACTCAATAATTCTAAACTTTATGATAATCATTCAAAGTTTAGAATTGTTTACAACTCATAGTTCATTTGCTGTAATATCAACATTTACAATTAATAATGAACTAAATAAAATAATTAATGAATGGTAATGGTCGTACCGTCACATAATATCTAAATTTAGCAGAACTTGAAATTTATCACATTATAAATTATGTCATAAAAATTATTGTAGCTCAAAGTATATGCCTTTGAATAATAAAATGCAAAAATGATCAAAGTACATCTTTTATCTAGTGTGATCCACGTAATTATGAACATTCTGTAATTGAGTTTATGTTATACGCGAATTATCATATCGTAATTAGCAACATGATCGAAATTTAAATTAGTATTATATGTATCCATTACTTTTTTAATATTTGTAAAGTTTCAGCCACGTTACTAATAATTATATTATTCATTATTGCCATACATTTAATTTACATCATTGATGATAATCCTCAATGTAAACAAAGTCGTGTCAACATTTGTTATATTATTTGCTTTGCACAATAATAACAATAATTGTTTATTCAGAAATTGTTTATCCTTCAAACGCGCGATAATAATCATCAAATTATTGCTATCGTAATTGTAATTGACAATAATCTAGGTTAACAAATTCTGGTTTGAAAAACTCTTGAATCTTTTATTTTTATAATGCGCAATGCAAAAAATTTATGAGAAACTTGTATCACTTTTTTGTTATTTAAATTAATATTGACAGTACAATAGCATTCTAGATCTATAACCATTGTTTGGCAATGATCTTTAAGTAGTTTTAGATACAACAGTAAATATTGTAATAATGTTTTTTATAAATTCATAATTTAATTTAGTATTTAGAATATTTTAATGTATCATAAATTTATTATTATTTATTTTTCAAAAATTTAATTCATTAAAATTCAAGTAAGAAATCAAAAGCTCTAACTTCTGTACATAAGTTTTCATTAAAAAGCAGAAATATCATATTCTAAAAGTTATTGCCCTTTACCAATTACTTTAATCATAGTTGTTCATAACATAACACTGTTGTAGCACATATAGAATACTGTTACTCTGTAACGATGAATTATTATTAAGATAACAACCTGACCTGCTGCAGAAGCTTCAAAACTGAGATATCATATGTTACAGTCAAGTTAATAAGCGCAAGCACACACACATAACAAATGTATGTATGGATGTGTGTGGGAGAGTTAGAATAGCTTCATACAGAGTATAAATTCAATAGCGAATGGTCCATAGTGGATCCGAAGTTTCATATTATGGTCAATCGATATTCTCGGTTACATTTAGGTGTGATGGAAGTGTGCTTTATATTTCGATATAAGTATTTATAATAATAGCGATGATTAATGTCGTGAAGACGAGAAGGAAAACTGATGGAATATTGGTAATCCATTTAGATAGTGATTCACGAAATAATATAGTTAAATATTTGAACAAATTGTTGGAAACTTAATACCTGAATTCGACTATCTTTTAAGGAATGAAGCAACAATTACTATTTTGGAAAATTATCAAACTTTAATAAAAAATTATTATTCTGCGAGAGTTTTAGGTGTTGTTTCTGTAGTTATTTATAAGAAATATCGATTAACTAGCAGGACCCGTGCGAATAATTCGCACGATATAAATATAAATATAAATCCATATTTTTTTTTCTTCTATATTAAGTCAAAGCATTGCTACTTGATGAGTATTTTGTATTTGGAATAAGCGTTATCGACCATTAATATTATTTAAGTTATTTCAATGCTAAATGGACTTTATATAAAATAATATGCTTCTTTCCCAAAGTTTTGTCTTGTTCCCCGCATGGAAAAATATATATGCGAAAAATATATGCAAATATATATTTCCACATATATTTTTTTTGCGCTAAATATATGTCCGCATATATGTTCACATATATGCGTAGATTTATGTTCACATATATGCGTGCATATATGTTCACATATATGTGCGCATATAAGTGTCTAGAGATACACAGAAAGAAATTTAACTTGAATCAAGAAAATAATTTTGAAAAATATAACTTTCTTGATTTGAGTAAAAAAATTCTCAAACTTAGAAATTTTTTTTTCAGTGTATGCTTACATATATGTTTACATATATGTAAGCATGTATCTCTGCATATATGTCAGCATCTATGTGAAAAATATATGTTGACATATTTTTTTTTTGCGTAAATATATGCGGCATATATATTATATATGCGACATATATATTTCTCCATGCGGGTCCAGTGTTTTGCGATAGCCAAGTTACAACTTCTTGTTCTATTGTAATTTCAATGCAAAAAATTTCGCTGTGTTCCGTGTCAGTTTCTTCAGTTAATTCAAAAAATTACTTTATTTCTGTTTCTGGCTCTAGAATAGTCTTTTTCATTCATATTATCTTGAATAAATGAGATAATTGAAGAAGATTCGGGATATTAATAATTTTATAGATGTTAAATAGCACTTATTGATACTCTTTTATCTTAAATAAAGCATTTAATTTACTTTATCTATATATTACGAGTATATTCACTAACACCGAATCCGTCTTAAAGCTACCTTCAGCACAATTTGCATTTACATCCACTAACTTCATTATAATTTTACATCAAAGTACTCCAGTATTCGGAGTAAGCTCAAGTTGAAGTTTATTCAAAAGATTTTTAGTGTTATTAGTTATAGTAAATAATTTAATTTGAAACACTTTTAGTTCTCTTGCAACTTTGGTGAAATTATTTATCAAAATGTTACGGTGTTACTATCATTACTACTATTATGATTAAATTACACACTTCGCAAAAGTTAAAGAAGCAAAAAAAACTTCCATTTTTTGGTGATTTTTGATTGGCTGTATTTCAGTGAAAAACGGTCGTATGGAGACCATTAAAATAGCATTTTGAAGCTTCAAATCTCTAGTTTAATGGTTTTTTTAGTCGAAAACTTTTTGGAGTAACAGTTTTCACGCAATTCCAAGTTAGACAGACTATTAGCTCCATATGGAGGCTTAGCTGGAAAAAAATTTTCAAAATTTTTTTTTTTACTATTTTCTGCTACTATTATGGTTACTTTAGATTTCGACTTTCACAACATCCGCGGTAGTATAGTGGTCAGTATCCCCGCCTGTCACGCGGGAGACCGGGGTTCGATTCCCCGCCGCGGAGATTTATTTTTTTTTTTTTTTATTCATAAAATTTCAACCGCATATGTACTATGGATTTAATGATTCATATCCCAAGTTTCGCGAATTGATGCAAGGCTTAGTAAACTCTCCGACCTTGTTCAACATATATACCTGTGATATTATTAACTCATACGAGCTCAATAAAAACAATGACACTCATTCTATAGCATACGCAGACGACACAATTTTTTATGTAGCAGAAGACACCCCAGACGAAATCCAACCTAAACTGGAAAAAATAGTAAACAATATCAACAAACACTATTCAACTTGGAACCTCAGAGTAAACCCCGAAAAATGTGTATCCATCTTATGGAGGCAGCCATCCAGGCAAATCAGTCAAAAAAAAAGAAAACAAGCTGAAGAATTTCTAATTACAACTCACAAACCAAGAACTAATGAACCAGGAATAATACCGACACAAAAATCCGTTAAATACCTAGGAATGCAGCTAGACTACCTAACAAGATGCACTGAACATGTAGATACCCAAATAATTAAAGCCAGAAACACTTACAAAGCACTTTTCAGACTACTTCATAACAAATACATAAGCAATAGAGCCAGAATTATATGTTATCAGCTACTAATTAGATCACTACTGACATATGCAATACCAATATGGTGGAGCCTAGGAGCAGCACAAATGGAGAAAATGAGACAATTCGAAAGATCCTGTCTCAGAGCTGCCCTAGGTTTATACCGAAAACCAGAAACTGATTACACAGAAAGAATAAGTAACCAAACCATATATGACACAGCCAACATTCCAAGAATAGATAATTTCATGATAAAGCTCACCAGGGATTATTATGCACAATTATAAAATATTGATAATGACATTATCAAAAAACTCAAGACCACCAACACAAAACTGAAAATAGCCGCTACCAAAGGATACCTACAACCACAATCATTCATTGAACTAGATAAAAAGGGTATAATCCAAAACGAACTGAATATTCCTACAATTTATCACCGCAGTAGACACAAAGCCAACAAAACAATAGACCTAAATCCAAATCAACCCAATAGAAAAATTTAATATTCAACATATTATGGATTTAATGATTTATATCCCAAGTTTCGCGAATTTTTTTAAACCATCTTACAGAGTAACTATATTTTGACATCTGGTGACAGCATATTGAGTAATACGATATTTTTACAACGAATATTTTTACATTTTTAAATCCACACATTGCTATCTAAAGAAGAGTAAGGTTAGGAACACTGTATACTAATGGTAGCAATAGTAATTAAGTAGCAACGAGCTACTAGCTACGAGCAATTAGCTCGTAGTAATAACGATACACTCGTTACTATACAGTAGATGATGTCGAGCAAACAATTTTTTTCAGTGTAATTAGACAATTTTTTGATAAAAAATTTTTTAATTTTAATGTAAAATTTTTTTAAGTTTCATAAATGGTCTGTTTTACCTCAAAAACTGTCATCATAATGAATTTTTTTAAAAATGTTTTCCATAAAAAAACAAGAAAACAATTTTTCCTAATTTTTGAGAGGGCTGTCATGTCTCACTATCTTCTATAAATCTTTGTGTTTATTTTTTGCTACGTCCACTGCTTGTTATAAAAGTAAACTTTCAAGGGGACTAGAAGGATGGAATCTTTAATAAAACACGGCAGCAAAAGCAAAAGCTTTTCACTATCATGTATTACTGCTGTCGATGACCCATAGGAATATTTAATTTAACGAAAGAAGTGCAATAAAGAAGCGTACTTGAATGAGCGAGTAAGCTTTCGTTTATTCATACCTCACTTAACCCAAATCGACCTTTTAAAAAGCAGCTTCATTTAATTTTTCATTATATAATATAACTCTTGTTTTTTGTATATACAGTTTTATAATATATTTTTTATTATCCTTTATTTTATTTATGAGAAAAATTTTAAAAGACATACACGTTTTCATAGATAAAAATTATTTTTGATGCTTAAATTGTATTTAATCCGATTATATATTTAAGTCTTCTCATATAATTTTTCGTAAGCTACTTTATTTTACTTTTATTGCTATGAAATAATAAAAATCCTAAGTAGATCATTTAATAATAATACCAACAACGAAAACAATATAATTTAATAATAATAATAATAATAATAATAATAATTGAATATGTTAATTATAAATATAAAAAAATAAAAACACGGTAATTTTTAAGTTTGCTCTTGTTTGTTCCGCGTACAAGAAACTTTAGTTGAATGATGTAGCAACGTATTATTTGGTTCATTGTTACTTTTTATCTTGTTATATAAGTAAATGTATGCATAATCTCGTGAATAAGATACAAGATACAATATATAGGTATACATATTTTTATAGTTATATTTATATAAACAAAAGCATATAAGTTGAACTTACGTTTGCATATGCTTGGAATTTCATCTGAGTTATCTTTACAGTCGTCTGAGCCATCACAGACCCATGGCATAGGCAAGCAATTACCATTTTTGCATTGGAACTGCCTCAAGGGACATACTTTTTGAGCTGAAAAATAAAAAACAATATTTATTTTTCATATTCCATGTTACATGCAAATAATGTTCTATAGTATGCATTAAAATTTTTGTATACTTCAAAAATATTTAATATGTTTACGTTCGGTGAATGACTGTTACATAATATATCCATATAGATATAGATAAATATGTATATAAATAGATAAATAAACCATTTTTGTATTTCGATCATGAACCTTGATTTTCCGTTTAAAAAATATTTAAGTATAAAGAACCTTTATTGCCGACAGTACAAGAATGCGCAATAAGTGGTTTTTAAAATTTTAGCGATACTCAATACAAGAAGAGTCAAGAGTTATCGATCCAATAAAGCAACTGCGCAAAATACACTTGGTGTCGCCATCTATCTAGTGCAAATGAGTTTCTTCTTTCGAGAGGAAAACGTCTACATACATAACTATATATATGCGAAAATGCATATACGTGATTACTCAAGAGTGCAAGTATTAGTAACCCCCGGTGTATTTTAGCTCACTTGGTTCACTTATACTCTTTTTTATGCCAATATACACGTGGGTACTCTAAACTTGTACTAGCATAGTTTTCGTATTTAGATGAAATATGATGATAATAAATACAAATACATGTGTATTTATTCAAAAGATAAGTTTATGCATATATGCAAATTCAAATGTATAAACAGGAATTTATTATTGAAAACAACTCGTCCGTCCTTTTCAATAACATATTTTGTTTGTAGAATTCTCATTTTTTGGCTAGGCCGTGCCAAACTTTTGAATTATATTTCACGGTACATAAATAAATATTGTACGAGCCACAAATTTTTTTACTTATAATTGGAGGATTTTGAAATATGTTTTTAAACTATCTCTTTGATTACTTTTGGTCTAAGTATAATTGTATTTTCTTCAATTTAACTTTTCAAAGTTTTTTGTATTATTTTTTTAACTTTCAGCGCTTACTATTGTCTTAGTTACTTTAAAAAATTGGTAAGTTGTTTTAAATTAGTAATTTTAATTGAGCACCGTAAAATCTCGGAAAAAAAACATTGAATTTGATTTAAATAAGTTTGGAATTTATTATTTATTATCGAAAGAAAAAAAAAAAGTATATTCAAATCGATTGGACCTACTGAAATAAAAGTTGGAATGCTCTACGTAATTAGAATTTTCGATAGCCCATATTAGCAAGTATAATTAGTCCGCGGGGTAGTTTTTTTAGTAAAAATATAAAAAGGAAGTAGAGTAAAGCAAGTTGAGTTCCGGAGAGTAACTGCCGCGATACGATTCTTTTGCTCTCTGCTTTTTCCCCAGCGTGAATTTATTTTAGCACTTAGTTTTTTTATAAAGAAAATAGTCAAAATAAAAAAAAATAAAATCCATCAAATTTGCACGTTTTAACCTCTTTAAAGTACTTTGCATAATGCGTGCGCAAATATACAGATATTTATATTAAACATAAAAAATAAATTATTATAACTATTATCGTAATATATTTATTTAATTGTAAGTTTTTACTATATTTATAATTATGAAGCTACAATCGTAATATGAAGCTATTATCGTAATATTTTCTAAAAATTAAAATCATTTTTTTTTTTTTTCAAAGAATTTTATATTCATGAACAAAAAAAAAGTACCTTATCATGTTCGATTAATTTATTAACCATGTATGAATGCAGTCATTATTAATTTTATTTTAAAATCAGAACTGTCGCTCGGACATATTCATGACGTAAAGCATTAATTATTAATCGAGGGTAAAACTAAATTATTCTGCATATAACAATAGTACATTCAATTTCAATCGGTCACTTGTTTTTATTTACTTTTTTTTTTTAATTTATATTTTTGGTGAAAAAAAAGTCGATGTGGAATTTGTTATGTCGGTAAATACAATTGATATATTCCCCGAAATTAGTGTATTGTAAAACGAAATAATATATGGAGTAACATACCCAATATTCTGTTGTTACAACAAATTCGATACGAATCTACCGGCGGGCAACAATACTACACCCAAAATACAAAGAAAACTTTTATACTTATATCTATGCACATTTGCATACATATTTATTGATAAATTACCTCATTATAAATTCACCTCATTTACGAACAAATTCATGCTTGATTAGTGTATTCATCAGACGAATATATTTTTTTATGCGGGGTATTTATAAATATTTAAGCTCGGCAAATTTCATTGATCATTCTCTTACACATGCTTTGTATTACTTATGACTTATTAAGAAACCGCATGCACCAAAGTGTCAAAAAATTTCAAAAGCGTATGGTAATATTACTACAAAATACAACTAAATAAGTAACAAACGGAATCACGGATATTCTAAATAATTTATCTCAAAATCATCAATTAAACTATTTGTAAATATAGGGACGTTTTATCTCTATTTATTAAAACTATTACACCTATTTTTGAATAAATTTCTTTACAAACGATTACATTTCTTTTTCAAAAGTTGTTAATGTTTAAATAATTTATTGAACTTTAAAAAAATCAAAATTGTTCGAGTTTTTAAGTAGAATCTAGAAATATAAAATTGACAAAAATTACATTTAAAAAATTATTCAAATCAATATTTGTTAAATCATATAATCCTGAAGAACAATTTGTTAACAGTAATTAAAACTTATTGAATATTAAAAACTCTGTCTATCATTTAATTTGTTTGGACATAAATAATTCCAAATATCTGTGATTTTGTTTTCATATTGTATATTCATATCTGGAAATAATCACCATAAAATACAAAAAACAATCTGTTGTTTATTATTGTCTTAAAAAATCCAGCCAGTGATTCAAATATATTTTACCATAAAATTGTCATATAATTTTTGATCACCGTAGTAAAATTTTTATCTCCCTATCGACTGCCGCTTTCTAGAAGATGAAAAAAGTCAATAAAAATACTTCTAGTGTGTATAAATATTTAATTTATTTACGATTTCTATCCGTATCCGAAAGTAATATGGGTGATATTAATTAACGAAAAGAACATCTGGCAGCTACAAACTGGAAGTAGATGTCTCAATACTAGCAAACTTTTATACTCCGTAGAGCGACACCTATTATAATAATGTATTTGAGAAATAAGTCGATTCATTATTCAAATTTCCTTCGCTGATCATTCCCCGGACTAATGGACCGACTTTGTTCGTCTGGAAACGTAATCAAGGCAATTGACCAAAGATAAGTTTACAAAGTTCGATTTCGGTCTTTTCAAAACTTTAAATTGTATTTCGGTGTCGTTGGATTATGAAAATCACTCGAGGAAATGAAGACATTGATTATAAATTATGAATAAGCAATAAAAATTTAAAATTTATTGACTTCGACACTCTTTTAGAAACGGATGAAAATTATTTTAAAAAGGTACTTTGAATCCAAATATTGAGTCATTTTTTATGTTTTGCTTATTTTAATACTAAATAGTCTTTTAGACAAATTTAGTTATTACTTTGTAGCGCGATCAAGATAATTATCATAAAAATAAAAATTTTTTAAATTTATTTGACTAATT